TAGGAATGACAAAAAAAAAATAGCCAATCTTCTTGCTGTTGGTCTTTTGTGCTGTTTTGTAGGTAGTAAATTGAGACCGTTTCATAACCAGTTAAAAACTTTAAGTAACATTTTGAATGCAGGATTTGTAATAGAGTGTTTTTACAGAAGGATTTTTCAACTTTTACTTCAGTAAAAGATCTGGATACTTCTTTCACCACAGTCAGTAGAAAATGTTTGTAGTTAGTCTCCATCCATGTGAATAAAAGCCAACCCGTCAGTCTGATCTCTATGGCTGGAGAACAATTAGAAAAATAAATCTTGTAAGTTGTTTGTTGGTATCACAGATAAACTGTAATCACAGCTGCTTTTCACACATTGTCGCAAACACTAATCCTCTTCCGTCAGCACTGTTCCAACAATCTTAGAGCAGATGGGGTAATACAGGAACAAAATGTGAGCCTGTGCATACGACCCGAGGATCCTGGTCATCGAAAGAGGATGTGGGCATGATGAAGAAACATAATCTCTTCTTGAGCATCATAATCATCGCTCGATATATTTGCCGAAAGACAAGGCTTGTTCTGCCTCTTTGAGACTGATTGTCTCCTCTAAAGCTCATATCAGTGAAGCACAGAGTATATTTATCACTGTTACACAGGTGCACTCAGAAAGAAACATTATGGAATATTTCAACCATTATCTAAATTCCTGTAATTTAACTTGTTTACATTTGTAACTCAGCAATTAAGTTTTTAATTAAGCAGGTAATATACTTATCGTCTGTGTCTGCATCTGTATCATCTGGTATATAGGCAAGACTACATATATGTCTTATAATTTATAAACAACGCCTAGTCAAGTCTGGTCAGGAACCTTGGTCGTCATCCCCCCTCCTACTCAGCTTTCAACAAAACCAAATAAAAAGTCAAAAAAATAAAATAAAATGCCCAAACTACCATAAAGTTATTTTTGATGTGGACCCAAAAGTGTCTTTGTAAAAGAAAAGAAAAAAACTGTAACATTAAAGTAGCTGTAATGACTATTTTTGTAATAATAAAATAAGCAGCTGAAGAGACAGATATTTTGGTTGGTAGAGACCAAAAACAGAGCCACAAGAGAGTGAGTATTGGACAAAAGCGACTCCAAATTGAATGGTTATGTTACTGCTGGATTGTAAATAAGTGACTGTTTGCTAATGTTGTATTACAACTTGTTTATTGCTGGTTTAAACTCCAGAGAGAGAAGCAAGACATGAGAGAGGAGACATCTGAGCTTATATGTGGAGCCCCTGCCAGCCACTGAATGAATGCAGTTTAGCCATTGGTAAGTTAATTAGCCCGGGTGACCTTTAAAGGTCAGACTAGCATTATATGTTACGTAGTTATCTCGAGCTTCTGACCTTTTGCGATCCTTGATGCCTCAGTTGTGGATGAATTCAAAAAGCAAAACAGTGGCAGTAGTATTTAGTTCCGTTTCCCCTTAACCATTTAATTTGGCCTGTTAGGCAAGTGGATTTGAAAAAGTCTGTGACTGTCAGGTTCTGAACTGCATACGACACGCGTCCCCTTCACTTTCTCACGCACACACTCACATCTCACCTGGACAAGTAGTTGGACTGGTAGTAGCGAAGCTGCTCAGCACGACGTGTGTCGCTCAAGGAATGATGGGGACTTATCTCCTGTGGAAGAAAAAAAACATCCATGAGTATGCATGCAGCCTAGAGAAACAGTGTCAACCAGCAAGAGGAAATTACCTGCAAGGGTTTGAATTGGCTGACAATCTGCACACTCGTGTACAGTATCCATTAAGATGATTTATTTAAAGATAATATGTTTAGTTTTTGATAATACAGCTGAAATGTTAGTACAAAATTGGATGAGGAGTAAGAAGTGATGCACCTGAACTGAAAAACTAGATAGCATAATTGTATACAACAGAAAAGGCACACAGTATCCCATGCTAGGGATAAACAGAAAAAGGGTTAGGTCAAGGCAGCAGGAATTTAGAAAGGAAAAGACAAATAAAATCAGTATTATTGGAACACATCATATTCCAAGACAAAAGTACTAGAGGAGAAAGTGAGTTAATTTCATGCATGTTTTAAACACAAGAAAAGAGAGAGGCAAAAGAGGAAAATGTTAAAATCATGCAGTGAGCGAAAGAAACGGACAACACAACATCAAACTTTTAGCAACGGAATAAGTCCTCAGAGACACAAGCGGAGCAAGAGGAAGAAGTAGTTTTCCTTCGGTGCAGCGGGTAGTTTGGGTCTACTCACTGTCAGAGGCCTTATCACCTAAGAAGGGCTCCTGCTCCATCATGTCCATGGGGATTTTAATGCTGGGAACATTCTCATTGTAAGGATAATCAGACTGTTGGAGAGAGGAAATACACATCCTGAGACGGGCCCTCTGGGGTGTCGGTGAGTTAGCATCAGCACACACACACACACACACACACGCATGCATTAATAAACCTGTGATGACACTGGTCAACATTAATTCCTTAACCCTTTGCTTTTAGGTAGTTTGTGATCTTGAATTTCTTGGTCCATTTTATACTTTCCTGGTTAAAAAAAGGTAAAAGAGACAATGTAATATAGCATTGACAGCTTTCTGTGGCAGCTAGAATCAAGCTGGAAAATCGAATATTGGATAAACCTTTCTGCCTGTCTGTAAGAACCAAAGGGAAAGAGCTTCTTTTACGAGCGACCACACTTAAATTTAAAAACAGTTTAACCCCATTGATGTCAAGCTTCAGTGGGGATCGCCTTGGGAAAGGAGTCATTTCAACTAGACTGTACAAGATATACAACTCGCCGTTTTACGTCATAACAGGACAAATATGTCACTAGGCTGTCAATGATCTTGGTTTTGAAATTTAAAATCAGAAAACTCTTTTCAAGGTTTTCTACATTTTCTGCTAAATGATCCATCAAAATGGGCCAGGCAACCGATATAACTCTTTTAAATAGTTGTGTTGGTTTCAAGAGTTGGCAAGTCACATCATCATCTAAAGAACCTCTAATCTGGTCTGTCTGGACCCGATCTGAAAAGAATCCATTAAAGAAACATCCCTGAACATTATGTGAGTGGCAGTTTGGATCTGCTCGAATATTAGACACATAATGTGGACACTGCCCAACTTGGGTTCCTGGTTGAGTGTCGGTAGAAACTGAGTGGCCCCATGAAGACCTCTGCTTCAAGCTTCCAAGCTCAATCACTTAAAAACAAGTTCTACCACTAAACCTCAAGAGGAAGGACTAGCTTACTTTGGAAGTCTGGTCTGAATTGTGTATAATTATCCTGAACCTAAAATGCAGAGGTATAAACACACACGTACAACAACGGTCTTGTGCAAATAAAGGGAAAGAAGCTTAAGTCTTGTTTGCTTTTACTGAAAATCAGTCAAATTTGAAATTTAATTCCAGTGAACCACAAACCAGAATCTTCAGGATTGTTTCTATCGAAGCCTAAATAATCGCTGAAAATGAGACAGTGGCACTTGCATCTATAATATCTCTGCAAGATTTCTGGATTCTTATTCATTCACCCATACGGGAAACTACTTTACACCAGATGAAAATGAGGGAAAGACAACTCCACAAGCACTTGCATGAAGGAAGCTGACATATGTAGATAAACGCTTAAATGGTACATGCTGCTGCAATTGAAGACAACTGTGAGTTGAGGGCAGGGCTGGAGGTAGTTGGTGAGGTTGACAGACTTGGGAATGGGCTGTCATATAAAACAAATTATAAGAAAGTGGAGGAAAAATAAGACATTTACTTGTTGCATTCAAGTGGGGCTGAAACTGTAAACTCAAAACTCTTACGTCTTCAGCGTCGCTGTCTATGCTGCCACGTTTTCCCTTTTTCTTCTTCTCGTCTTCTTTCTTCTTCTTGTCCTTCTCTGGGATGACATCGTCCAGGAAGCTGAGGTCATGCTGGGAGAACATGTAGTCCATCGCTTTTCTGACGGCTACCAGAGCGAGGATCTAAAAGCAGAACAACAACAGGATAAGAGTTAACTGCCAGGCAGTTAATTTGCAGAATTATCAAATAATCTCACGTTTTTAAAATTGTATATATTTTAGTTAGTTAATTTAAAGTCAGCTTCTATTTTGTGTTTATTGTTGATTTGTGTTGATTCTGGCGACCCCTGTGGACAAAAGTGGTAGTGTTTCCCTTGCCTCGTCTGATTTCGAGGGGAACCTGACTGAGTCCGACTTGGTGGCAGCCCCATTAAGAATAATGATATAAACTATAAAGAAATAGCAACTGATGGTCTTATTTGTTTATGTGGGTCACATACAGGCATCAGCATTAAAGAGTCTATTTTTTAACCAGTTAAATATGTTTAAATAACACAAATAACAAATGGTATATAATATATAACAATATTTATACACTGGTGATTTTTTAAATCCATGTAACAATGTCAATTAAAGTTTGAGACAGTCACTTCCTGCCCAACAGCACTAACTACAATACAAAGTACAGATACAAGTACAATATTGTCATAATAAAGTATTGAGTGTTGCATTTGTGACCCTGAACCATAACTATATGAAACACCATGCCAATTATCCCTGGATTATCAGTACAAATGATAAGCTTAATTTACGTGTCAGAGTGATGCAGTGTCTGATCATGTCAAGCTGGCTGTATAGTGCATTGAGCTGTTTTATCATGCTGCTTACACATGCATGCACATGCATTTTTCACTCATCCTTTAAAATGACAAGTTAATACTTGTTTCAGTGGACTGACAGAAAACTGAGTATAATTTGGAAAACAGATAGACTTCTGGTGACAAATATGCCAAAATTCATGTTATATTCTGCTCACATATGATGAAATCATTATTATTTTGATTGCTGGCCACAATATATAAGTATAAATAAGTATAAAATCTTAAAATAAAATATAATTATTATATACTATTGTTATTATTATTGTATACAATATATACTTATATACTATAAAATATTGACAGAGAACTGGAATTTTTCTTTAGTTTCAGGTGAAGCCTGGATACGCCACACTAAGGTCATGATTCACATGATGACAACTGAACCCACATGAATCTAAATAACAACAGAGCAAATGCCCACTGATGAAGGCCACTACATGCAGCTTAAAGTTCTTAAAACATTTCCAGTAAGTGCAAGACTCAAAAAATAAAATAAAATACACGTCTTATTGGGTAACTCTTAATATAAATGTCTCTTACCATGACAGGGAATATAATAGCAGCCACAGTGGACTTGAGTATCCAGAGCATAGCCAAGCAAAGGATCTGGATGAAGGTGAAGAGGTGGACCTTCCTGAGGGGAACATGCCGCAGGTAAACCAGGTCCGGCTGATGCTTCGCTGGCATCAGAAGCAGCTTGAGACGATCCATAAACTACAGACAGGAAGAGGTACAAATACAGATGACAGGATATACATACATGCATGCATGACTATATCAGGGTAACAATATCTCACTGGCTTGCACAATTTCTTGGATACTCAGATGTTAGAGGGTCATAGTTTATTAGGTTTTTTTTCAGATTAGTTTACTTTGCTCTACACTCCACATTACTAATGCTATTATATAAAGAAAGAAAGAAATGTAATATTTACCTGCACTCCATTGAGAGAGGCGACTCCCATGTATAGGAAGACTCCATACAGCACAGGCATGGGGATAAACTATGTGAAACAGAGAGAACAAAGAATTAACATAAATGTAAACTTTAACACTTTTTTAAAAGACATCTTCAGAGAGAATTTACTGAGAAACTGCTTTGCACTGTCTAAAATGTGCAGCTTTCACTTAACAGTATTTAAGGTTAATGTGGGGGAAAAACACCAATTTCCAGGTCAGTGTTTAAGTAAAAGCTGCTTCAAGAATATTTATTATACCAGATAAAATGCACAATTGTAATTTTAAACCTTACCTGGACTGCAGCTTTTATCAAAAACTATTCTGTTTTTCTTTTTTGGCAGTTGTATAGTAAAATGTTCTTTTGCATTTCTTCACAATGTCAAACACAACCACTCAGCTTTTTATTTTAAAATGTATGAATGTAACGGGTCTCTCAGTAACTGGAGATGAGGGTTAATGAGTTTTTATTTTACACTGTCACAGTAGGAGTTAATCTCACTGACCTCTGACCTTGTTAGTATAGAGGTTTGTGGACTTAATGATCCAAAATAACAGCTTATTATCTCTCTTTTCCAGATAGTCAAAGAGAATCTAAAAAATAAATCTAGTAAGACAAGGCTAATTACCGTATTTATACACATTCATCATCAGCTCTGTTAAGTGTTTTTGTAACTCTTGTAACTCACAATCTGAGAAGTGTTTTTGTGGTTCCTAGAATACAATTTTAACAACATGATATCTAAATCACTTTCTTTGATTCAATCTATAAGTTAGCAAGTCTGCCACAGCTCACTCTCGACCTTTTCAGCTTTTCAGGATGACTAAGTGATTAATAAACAGACACAAATCAGAAGACATTCTCTGTTTAATTACCTTTAAAATAGGAGACATAAATACAGACAGTCCTGTCAGGATGAACACAAACACACCAGTGACTCTCTGCTCTCTGCAAAAAAAAGAAAAAGGACAAATACAGTTATGACAAGAACAAAACGTCTGTTTGGTATAATTTCATGATTTGGACATTTTTCCCTCTTTTAAGTACAATAACAAAGTCCCAGAAAAGCCTGAATAATGGTGATTAATTGAGGATCATTTCCCAGATCTCTTTCAGTTTAGCCAAAGCAAAGACAATTCAAATATTTGTAGGAAGTTTGAAGTTGGCGTAGATGCTTAAGTGTCTTGCAAGACAAGAGCTTGTTGGTTCAGCTTACAGCTGACATATCAGGAGCCTCCGGAGGGCGTCACATAAGAGACGTGAAAACAAACAAAAAAAAAATCTCTTGCATCTTAATTGGAGTACATAGTCACTAATGGGCAGCAGAGTGAATGAATCAAAGGGATACAACAAGATTATTTGTTAGTTTTCTTCTCTAAAATACAGTTAATACAAGAGATTAATGTAATATTTATTTAATTTCATAGAGGTGATGTAAACCCATCCACTTCCCTCAAACAGTATTTGTTCAACAGTAATCTACTGTGTAAATGCTTTTTATGTTTGACTTAACTCATTAGGCAAATCAACTCATTACACTTATTACAGTTCAGTAAATTAACTCTAACAAGAGAGTTATTTTGTGTTTTGGTTAGCAGGACATCTCAAACTTTTAGAGAAATGTTGTGGAAAGTCACATATGAAATATTTGGATTTACTTTAAAATACTTTCTATTAGCATTGGTTGTAAAATTAAATTGTTATAAGTGAACTTCGATGCCAGCTGCAGACAACTTCTGCAGGAGATTGTTAGACTTTTGCTGCCATCTCACCTATAGATGGTGCTACAGCAACAGTGTATTTAATTTACCATGGATCAGTTTTGATGAATCTCTGACTCCTTCAACTCTTAAATTTTATCCCTGTATGGTGCGCTAATATTCCCGGATAGGCTTTTGGTATTCTCTAAAAAATTAAGAGCTGCCATCAGCATGAGTTTTGGTCATTTTGTGTATTTTCATGTGGATCCAAATGCTCAGTTTATTGTACGCACTCTCCACCAGTCTTACCTCACACCCAGAAACTTTGGCTGCTCTCCAGGAGCCGAAGTTTCAGTTTCCATCTTCAGACTGTCGATGTGAGCAATAGAGATCACAGTGGCAGCCACGTACCACGGCAGACCCATGAAGGAGCAAATCACCAGCAGAACAGCCACCAAGAACAGATCCAGATGGTAACCTGCCCCTTTCTGGTACAGACAACAAACATGGAAGGTCAAAGGTTGTGCATGTGCGTGCTCAGGCATAGTCAGTATGCACGGCTGCAGATACAGGCAAACCGTAAACCCAGCAAACAGCTCCTATATATACAAATGTATTCTTTGAAATTATTTTCCAGTTATCTTGAAAAAGAAACCATTCACACTGCTGAAATCAAAGAAATCATTGCTCAACTTCAGCAGTGACTCTCTGAACATCTCAAGTAGTTGCTTTTTGAACTGTACTGTGTTCAGTCACTACCATGAAACATCTCTCACCCTCATGAGAAGAATGACAACAATATTTAACTACAGTGTGAAGGTATCCAGTGTCCTGTACAGACTGCAGTTTGTTGTGGGAAATGAATGAAAATCCTCACATCAGGTAAGACAACCTTTTTTTCAGTTGTTGAATTTCTAAATTTAACTCATTTCACAATGTGAAAAATGCAGACTCAAACATTTAACACCTATTTATTGTGCAAGCTATGCTCAAAAGCCAGCACTAAATGTTGTCTGAAATCAGCAAATTGCCAATAATGGAAATCCTTCCATCTGTAGTACAAGAACTCAAGAGAAGTGATTCCCAAACCTCTACCTCCTCACTCACATACAGTACATCAACCTTGTGAACCTTGTGAACCTTGTAAGTATTACAACAGCAGTGACAGTTAGCGATTCAAAGACTTTAATCTCCCTGTTCACAAATGACCACCTGGCTTTGAGTTTTCTATTCACCTTCAGCTTGTGCTCCTTCCTGTTGACGATGACAGCAGTAATCTGTTGGTCCATGAAGACCAGTATGGTGACCAGCAGGGCAGGAAGTGCCGATGCCAGGTAAACCCACCAGGGGTTTCCTCCGAACGGGGGCACAAACCAGCCCCGGTTAGGACTTGTTGGCTATGATATGAAAACAGAAGCATTTACTTTAATGGACTTCATAAATATGTTTGCTTTTGATTAACAGTCTTTTAATGTTTCTGTTAACTCACTTTAATCACTTTACATTTCTGATGATCAACTTCTAAACCAAATGCTGATTGACATTACATTAATTTGGCAATGTTTTTGTCCAAAGGGACTTAAAAGTCCAGCGTGTCACAAATTAGAATGAGCATTTACGGAGCACGGGGGTACCCACCTTGAATTCAGTTGGCACAATGAGTTTGGGAGTATCGACTCCTACAAGCATATCAACTCCACAGAAGATGAGGATGGCCAGGATGATGGCAAAGTCACTGATGAGTTTCCTCACCTGAGTGAAAGTTAACACAAACACTTCTCTGTAACCTGCTGTTCAAACATTTGGACACCCAGTTTGATTCCTCAACAGATGACCCGTGGGATTAAATTAGCTTAGTATGGCTGACGGTGACTCACAGTGGTGGGGAAGAACTGGCTGGTCTTGAACTTCTTCAGACACATGGAGCAAGTGTAAGTGCCAAAGAACAGGATGAAGGACATGAGGGTGATGTCTGGGACAAACTCGCAGGCCTTCCCCACCAGCTCTCCTTTGTACTTCAAGCACTCAGTCTTTGTGAGGGATGACCATGTGGCGTTCACTGACTGCACAGAGGGCATAAAGAACATCATGATTATATAAAAAAAATCTGTTATTCGTGCTAATGAGCGCCCCACTAAAGCAGTGATGGATACAATAAAGAGGTTTGAGGTAAAGTACTGTAATGTTACAGTTCTTGTACTGAAAAGCTGACTGATAACTGTCTGAGTGTTTGGGAGAAAAGCGAGATAAAGACAAGCCGACTTGCAGTGTCACAGTAACCTCTAATTAGAAACAATGTGCTTATCAGACTGTTCTATTTTCCTTGTAACATTGTTGAACTGACAAACACAACACAACTGTCTGTTTCAATTTTCTCTTATCTAGCCACTTGTGGCTGGTATGCGATTTGTCTTTTCAAGATTGTCAGACCAAAGTCCTTCAGTTTGAACACTGCTTGAAGTAAATAGACAGCATACAGTGGCATAGATGACGTATAAACTGTCAAAGCAAAACAGTTTTGCATTCAAGGCAAATACCAAGAGAAAAGTGTTGATCTTACCAGATCAGTGTTGTTCCACAACCAGAATGGAGTGTCATCTAAAGGATCAGGGATGCTGTTTGTACTGTTTTCTGCAAAACACAACAAAACTTCCTCTCAGCACAAGTTTTTTTTAATGCTGCAGTTTTTAATTTGTTTTGCACAACAACGAACACATTGACTATGTCTAAAACCATGTTATAATAGCCCCAT